AGGCTTATGCTAGCACACATTAAAATAACAAACACTTATTCTCTCTTGGTTTCTCTGGGTCAGCAATGTAGGAAAATTAAGTGGGTCATTCTTGCTGGGACAGGGAGGGAATGTCTTTCTCCTGAGATTACAGTGATGTTTTAGTCAAGGCTACAGTCATTTGAGACTAAAAGATCCTTCCAAACTCACTTAGACATAAGTTCTTCTTGGCTGTTCTTATGATGTTGTCTTCTCTATGGTCTACTTGAGTGTCTCCATGATGTGACAGCTGTTGTCCCCAGAAGCAAGTGATTTAAAAGTAAGCAAGCATACCCAAGACCACAGTCCTTCTATAGCCCAATCTCAGAAGTATTGTATTATTCCTTTATGGTATTCCATTTTTTTAGGAGCAACTGTCTAAGCCTAGTACATAATGAAACTAATATCAACCTCTTGAAAGTGGAGATTAGCAAAGAATTGATGGTACCTGGGCATGGTGGCACACATCTGCAACCCAGCATTTGGGAGGCTGAGGCAAGAGAAAATGGAGTTGGAGACCTTTGGACTACAAAGGAGCTCCAAGCCAGCTTTGGTCACACTGCAAACTGAAATGGCAACAAATCAATGGTCGTAATAATGAAATCAACCCAAAGACCCTATTTGATATTCAAGAGTCAACCTGACACAGCGGTCAAGAATATAAGTAAGAGATTCATGAACATCTAGGTCTAATACTGGCTTCTACATTTGCAAGTTTAGTAAAGATACTTGATGTTTCCAGATTTCAATTGCCCACCCTACAAGAAAGGGATGGAATAATAAAATAGGAAATAATAAAATAACAAAATAGGAAAATACTCCATTGGGTGACTGTGACAAGTAAATATGATCAGGCATGTAAAATATTTGACACAGAATAGATACCCAATAAATATTACCTAATTTCTGTATCAGAAGTGTGCTATTATACTTCATAAGGTAGCATAGATTTAAAAAAAAACACAGTTTTTTTCCTGAGTTGGTTTTCTGGCTCTGTCACTTAGTCATTAGCTATAAGAACAAGGGTAGGCGATTAAATCTTTTTTGGTTTTGATTTTCTGTAAAATGAAAGTAAATAATAGCTAGTACCTGAACAGGTATTCAATAATTTTTTTTATGAATAAGAGTTTGAGTGTGATATAGGACTGCAGTGACAAGATATACCTCCATTCCCATCTCTCTCTCTCACACACACATGCAACACACGCACGGAGTCAGAATGCTATACAAAGCAAGTGTTTTTGTGCCCTTGAACATGATGGCTCTCCTTTAGTTCTCTGGTTTTGCCCTCTCCTGTGGGTTGTTCTGATCTCATTGTTTGCACTCTGTTCCACCATAGCTTTGTTCAAGCACACATCCTTCTTCATCCCTGCTGCCTCAACCAAGAATATGTTTAATTGTCTTTGCAGGAAAGAGTCTGGGGATTTGGTGACAGGAGGGGGTGGGGACAGCCCCATGTCACACCACCTCCGAGCTGCTACATTACCTTAAATTGATTTTGCAAATGAAAGGCAAAAGCTAAGCAAAGGCGAACCATCCATTTTGCCTAAAGATGATTATAATGCTCTTTTATGGCCTCCTAAATGACAAAGCAATTTGTTACCTGCCTGCACCAACATTTGCTTATATTAGTGCCAGGGAAGCTTGATTTTTATTAGCCCCACGTTATCATTTTATGAAGTCACAGGGGCTCAGTAAAATTAGTGTGCAAATAGAATGCCCGTTTTGCCTTTCCCTGTGGTCAGCAGAAATGTAGAATGCAATTGAGTTGATACTGGGTCAGGGGAGGCATCCATAAAGTTAGCCTTCACCGAGGGCTTGGTAATGTCATTCATCATTTCTGAACTGCTGGGAAACATGAGGTCAGTGTTAGGTACCACTTTTTAAAAGGATTTGGAGGTGGGGGGTTAAAATTTTTTAGGTGAAAAGAAATATAAATACTAAGACAGTAGTTCAATTTCCGCCAGCAATAAAGAATGAAACCAGTCTTTTGTGTACATTGGAGATGGAATTACAGCAGATGTAGGATTGTATAATGTTAGTGGACCCAGAAGGCACACAGGGTAGAGAAAGGAACTCTGACTTGGAGCTAGGGCTGGACTCCTGACTAAGTGACCTTGAATGTATCCGTTCCTTCTGTGGGCATCAGATCTCTCACGTGTAAAGTGGCATGGGTACACCCAGCCTCACAAGAGCAACATGAAGATTTAAATGAAATAGCAGGTGCCTAAACTTATTTGTGAGAAAATATCTATAAAGTGTTTTCATTTATTAATTTAGCGACCAGTTCCTTGGTACCCATTCCAAACAGACTCCTGGGGAAGACATTAGATATTTACCAGTAGACACCATTTTCTCCCTGCAGTAGCTTATATTCCATTCAGGAAATGTATAAGTGTCTAACTCTTCTTTGAGACAATAATGTATTCTCTCCTCTCAAAGGTGCCCAGCTTAGAGCTGTGTACAGAGTAAAGTCTCATGTACATTGTACAATATGTTTCCTGCTGCCTTCCAGGGAACTCAAAGCCCTCTGTGCTTGCTTCTCACCCCCATGTACCAAGCAAGCCACAGCCTTTAGGAAAATGTTTATATTCCTTTATTTGCTGATTTTTTTTTTAGACAGGGTCTCTCTGTATAGTCCTGGATGCCTGGAACTCAATGCATAGATCAGGCTGGATTTGAATTCACAGAGATCCTTGCCTCTGCCTCCTGAGTGCTAGGACTAAAGGTTTGCACCACTACTCCAAGTTTTAGGCTAAAAGAATTAAATTTGCTTTTAATTTTACCTTATTTTTATGTATATGGGTGTTTTGCCTGCATGTATGTCTGTGCACATGTGTGTGCAGTACCTGTAGGCTCCTGAAGAGCACAGGGGCTTCTCTAGAACTGGAATTACAACTAGTTGTGTGCCATCATGTAGGTGCTAGGAGCCAAACCCAGATCCTCTAGAAGAGCACCCAGTGCTCTTAACTCATGATCAATCTCTCTGCCTCAAGAGTTAATATTTTTATCTCTTGTGTCAACATTGGTGTATCTGTTTTGATGATGAACCACATTCAAAACAACCTTTTACCACCATTGTAAGAGAATGCCTGTGATTATTTCTGTGTCTTTTCCCTCCAGATCGTCCTCTTATAATATAGATAGGGCTCATTTAATCCAATTTTTCTCAGTTTTTTCCTAAATTTCCTTCAGGTTGTTGTTCTGTTGTATGCCAATCAACCCTCTCTTTGCCGATGGCTGAGTATCTCTTCCCCATTCATGTTAGGAAGGCTATTCTTGCCTATTGTTATATGAATATATATTACATATAATATCTTTTCATAATGGCTGAATTTTATTATACAGGTTAGATTTCTGTAACAGCAGAATCTGATTCAGGTCCTATTTTCCTATATATCTAATAATTTTTATTATATGCTGGATATTACAAAATACATACATTGCTGAGTGTCTGGATTTTACTATCTCTCCTTCAAAAGAGTTGGGCTTTATATATTAAACAGTTAAGTTTCTTTTCCAAGTTTGATTCTTTTCAATGATTTTAAAGCCTTGTTAGGATCTTTCTGGAGTAATTTAGCCACACTACTAAGATACATCTTATTCTTGCTGTGTGACCAAAAACGACTCATTCTTTGGAGTCCAAAGTTCAAAATTTTCCTTACTACTTCATAAAAGCTAGGAGGCAAAGCAGAGAGAGTTTGTGTATGGGGCCCTAGCCTTCAAAGGTATGTCCTCAAAGATCCAATATTCCTCCACTAGGTTTGGCCTGTTAAAGGTTCTACCATCTTCCAATGGTAACATAGGCCTGAGGACAAGTCTTCAACACACTCAGACCCAAACTATAGCTTAAAGGTTTATCCTACCTATGCACAGAGTTTGTGATCTAACAAAGACTCAAGAGGGCTCCGTACAGATTTTTGGAACTCTTTTTCTCTACTGGAATTCACAGAGCCTTCTCAAACTGCTACCTGCTAATCTTGAATCTCAGGAAGACTTCTATAATGTGCTCAAGATATTGTACCCTGCTTTTCATTATGCAAGGAATCATCAGAGAAAGACAGGGCAACCATGAGGCATTTGTCTCCTTTCCTCGTGGAAATCTGGTCCTACCCCTTGTCTCTTATTCAACATCTAAAAGTAGTAGTTTAGTATATTTTATTTAGTTTTCCAAATCGGGATTTTGCTTTTTGTTTTTATTTTTCACAATGCCAGGAGTCAAACCCAGGGCCTTCCATGCACTAGACCAGGGTTCTACAATTAAGCCACCCTGAAGATCTAGTTTTCTAGCTGTTCAATATAAAAGAAATCTGGTCCCTGTTACTTTATCACCACCAAAACAAAAGCCTGAAATCTAATCTCATCTGATATCACCTATTAACTGTGTGACCTTAAACAATTGCATAACTTCAGTTTCTGCCTCTATAACAGGAGTATGAATGACATGTTGCTCGAATGATTATACATACAGATATATATGTGTGGCACAAAAAGGGGTTAATTAAACAAAATGCTACTTTCACTATTATAAATAGCTGCCTTTTTATTCTGTTGTTTACTGGATGTTTGTTTATTACTATGTGGTATGTAGCCTTGTTTCGTTATCACAACCAAATTAAACAGATATTATTCTCCTAATTCATAGCTAAGAATACTAAAACTCAGAAAGATATACAACTGCCTAAAGGCACAAGTTTGGGATTCAACTTCACTGACGGCTTCCTCAGATGGTTGTAAATATTTCATATTAATATAATATTCTAAGTTACACAAAGAAAAAAGCAATGAAGTATTTTAATATTAAATAGATGGAGACCTGATTAATCAACAATGGCTGGTCCTTAACAGTTCTAACCCAATGATTAAAAAAAAAAAAGATTAAAGTAGAGCATCCATCTAGCCTCTTCCTCAGCTGTCTCCTTCCCACATACCAGTCTCAGCTTGCTTTCCATGGTGACCTTCCTTCCACTTGTTTCTTACAGAAAATCTCCGAGAAGGGGCAGACAAGAAGGTGATATTCATCACAGGACGAGTCCACCCAGGGGAAACACCATCTTCGTTTGTGTGCCAAGGTAAGCACAGGATCTCACGGGTGTCCTCTGCCTGCTGAGGCACTTGTGGTGACCTTTAGGACAGTGCAGACCCGAAATCTTCATCTCACATGGCAATTCGCCTCAGTTCTTCAAAGAGGTTGCAGTTCATACCCACCCAGTTTTGATTCAATAAATGCTTATCACTGAGTGTTGGTGTGAAAAACCAGATGAATGGATGGGTGGATAAGTGAGCAAGAGGGGCTTAGGGAAATTCTTTTATTGTTCTATATCAAGGATGACCAGGGGGTCAACTATATTGTCCAGCTTTATTTGTCCTGAGCAGTTGACAACAGCAGGAAATCTGACCCAAGCTAGATATGTTTGTGGGTAGTAGGGTTATGGATTGGAAATATTGTCTATTCACTCACTTAATTCAATCATTTACTTAACAACTTTTAAAATACCTACTGTGAGCAAGGAAGTGCCCTTGGCCTCAGACAGACAACAGTAAGATGATATCTCTGCTTTAGTGTATTTCTTTATTTAGTGGAATTTAGTGTAATTGCATTTCAATTTATCGTCAAATACTTCATCTGTATACAGGAACTAATTAGCCATCATCACGAACATAGATCTATTCAATAAGTAAGATGTAACTAACACAGTGCATGTCCAGGTACCCAGCAATTTAAGAAGCAGCCAGTTACTCGTGCCTTTCCAATTCTTTGTCCCGTCCTTCCTCCCACAGATCATGACCTTGACTTTTGCCCTTTTGTCATCTTCATCTTTAAGTTTAACTATATTTGTAGATACCTTTAAACAATGTATGTTGTAGTTTTTCCTGTTCTTGAACTTTGTACAAATGTCATCATTCTATATTCACCAAGGCTTGCTTTCCACTTGGTCTCCACATGGGTGAGTAGTGCCCCAGTTTGCATGCTTTTCCTCGATGTATTATATTCCATGTCTGTCTGTAGTTCTATTTACTTATTTATTGTCCTAATGATGGATAGATACTTAAGTTGTTTACAATATTTATTTCTTGAAAACAATGCTATTTCAAACATTCTTACACTGTAATGTGTATGTGACGTGTGTGCACATGTAAATTATTCCTAGGGTGAATAACATGGAGATACAATTGATGGTCATAGGCTGTGTGCATCCTCAGCTTTATTAGTCCCCCCCCAATTTTTTTCTTAGAAATATTCAGCTTTACAGCACCATCCGCCAGCCACATGTGACTTCTTACTGTTTCACATTCTTGTCAGTATTTTATTCTTTTCCTCAAAGTACTAGGGATTCAACCCAGGACCTCACACATGCTAAACAAACCCTACCACTGAGTTACAACTGTAGTGCTTAAAAAAAAAAAAACTTTTAGTTTGAGACAGGGCCTCTTTAAGTTGCCCGAATTGACCTTGAACTCACTTTGTAGCACAGTCAGGCCTCAAACTTGATGTCCTTTAGGCTAAGCCTATGGAGTAGCTGTGATGTGCTACTCCATGTGCACACCATGCCCAGCTTCATTTTTACCTATCATGTAAAATAGAATGATATTGTATATGTACAAAATACTATTCAAGGAATTCATATATTTTAATTGTAGTTTGTTTTAAGTATATTAATTTTCTATGTCACAGAGACTAATGCTAGCTATGTATTGACATATGAGAAAACTGAAATTTGGAGAACTCAAGATGACCATGTGGTCATAGGGATTGCAGAAAGCTTCTGAAGGTTACACAGCTCCAAGGACAAGTATAAGGAGACTGGGAATCAGACAATGCTGTGGTCAAATGTCTGCTAGACCACCTCCTTGCAGCATCACATCAAATCCCTCGAATGTAAAATGAAGCTAACAGAACTATCCAGGAAGGCATTAGGAAGCTGTCAGGAGATAAATGTAAACACAACACCTAGTCCTATGCCTAGCACATACCAGGCTCTTGACAGATGTCACCTTCGTCCCCATGGGAACCCCAGGGGATGAAGTAGTAATCTACCTTACAGACTCTCAAGCACTGTGCATATAAATATGGGTTTCATTCTCCTGCTGCATATAAATACGGATCCCTTTCTTCCCATGCTGTTTAGGCACGATTGCCTCCCTCTGTTTTTCAGCTGATGAGGCTGAGTGCACGGAGAGGATGTGACTGGCAGAGCCCAGCAGCTTCTCAGCTGCATGGCTAGGCCCTAGTCACTGCAGCTGACTCCTTCACCTCTCACTTCTGCCCCACGCCCCCAGCACTGTCCTTGCAATAACCTTTCCCAGGCTCTCCCAGGTCTGCCTGCCCCTTTCTCGAAGCCATCTGTCAGTTACTAAACTTGGCAGCAGTTCTGTTCCCCCAGCTGATTGAGTGTAACCGACTTTGCCCTTGTTTGTAAAAAAGTCGGTAAGTCTTGCCATCTAGATCTTCATCTCTAGGAAGCCAAACCCCCTGTGCCCACCATGTCTGTAAGCAGTATAGGGGGCTACCATCTCATTTTACAGATGAGGATCCTGAACAATGATCTTGGATGGTGCTGACTTGATGCACTCAGTGTTGTCCTAGAGGCTTTCAGATACACATTTGCTCCTTGGTAGAATTCGTGAAAGTAGAAAGCTCACTACTTTCTCAAAGTAAGCTCCAGCCTCATGGTATGGCATCCACAGCCCACCATGGTCTAGTCCTTGTCAAGCTCTTTGATCTCATCCATATTACAACTCGGCCCCACACAGATTAATCTCAGAGGGGAAATCTGCTCCCTCTGCCTTGGAGGTCACTTGACACTTTGCAAACACTTCCTGTCTTCTCAGGTTTATTTTAATGCTCCACCATGGACCTCCATAACCCACTCCCTCCAGTCCTCTGCTTTTAGCTTACATTAAAGATGTCAAACTTAGCATCATCAATAAAGCACTCTTACTACCCTGATTTGTTATGTGATCTATGTACATGTGTCCTTCCCATTCACGCACGATCTATTTAAGGTTTAGGACTGGCTGTCCAATGGACACTTTCCACATCTGTAAAACAGGATTATGTTGTTCATTATCTGGGTCTGTTGTGAGGAACAAAGGCTGTGTTGGCTGTGGGTTGCTAAAACTGAATTTGGAAAGAGAAGGCTCAAGGTCACACTGTAGCACGGATAATAAAAGACCCAGAGACTGATATTGGTGTTCAAGCTTCAAGCTGAAGATCAGAAAAGCAAAGCAGCCAAGCCACTAGCTCTTACCTCTACCTCAGGTTGAAAGGTCTGATCCTGTCTCTATGAGCTTTCACCAAGCCTCAGACTGCTGCCTCTCCTCAGCATGGCTGGAGAACATATCTCCACATGAGACCCTTTGCTTTTTATACCTCCCTAGTGCTGGGATTAAAGGCATGTGATCCCAAGTGCTGAGACGATCTTTGTGTGAGCTGTTTCTTTTTAGGATCAATTTAGTGTATCTCAGTGTGGCCTTGAACTAACAGAGATCTGTCTATCACTATCTCCAAAGTGGTGGGATTAAAAGTGTGTGCCACCACAGCCTTGTCTCTATAACTAACCAGTGTGTCTGGCTTTGCTTTCTGTACCCTCAGGCAAGCTTTAATAAATGATGAATAATATATCACCATATCACACAGCCTGTGAGTAGTAGTAGAGGGGATTTGAGCTTGGGTCTAGCCAGATCCCCAGCCTGATCCCCTGTTCCACTGCTGGCTGAGAAATGCTAGAAGGTCAAGTTTTGTACCTGGCACAACACTGGGTTTCAACCACCTCACTTGCTGTGCACTTTCCAGGTAGGGCTGTGGAGGCTCTGAGAAAGTAAGGTGGCTTACTGAAAATGGAATGAATTCACCTCCTGGGTTGGCTCTGCATCTTTCCTTGCCTCAGCATCTGTCCCTTGAGACACACAGCAATTCATCTTTCTTTGAGGCAGCACAAGGCAGGCACTATTACTCACACTTTTCTGCCTACTTTGGGTTTGTATTCCATGGGGACATCATGAGTCAAGCCCCGTAGGGCAGAGATAAAGGGTTCTTTCCAGTAGTCAGAGCCTAAGGCTTGGTCCCTTTTCCCAGTTCACCTGGCTCCAGGGAAGTACAGGTCTGAGGCCTGGAGGATAGTGACTGAGAGCCTCTGTTCTTCTCCATTCACTGGCTCAGTGACCTTGAGCGGGAAGCAGGCCTGGAAAACCTGGTTGTCTCCATCTGGCCAGGACCATAGTTCTCACTGTCGAGCTGCTAGTGCACCTGCTTCTGGGAGTACAGCAGAGTTCTGTCATCACAGGTATCTGGAAGGGGTGGTGTTAGGGATGGCAGGGTTTAGATTTTCTGAAGACCGCTTGGTTGTAGAAGACTCTAGGCCACTCTTCCATCATCCCGCTTCCCTTGTGGCTCCTGTGAGACCACAGAATCCTTATTCTCTGGTTAGAACAATTGGAGAGAACAGAGGAGCTCCCATGCTGTTCTGTGACAGGGTGTGCAACAACATAGTCTCCTATTAGACAGAGAGATTGGATCCCAGCACCTCCACTCATTACACTATGACCTTGGGAGTGTCACAGAACCTCCCTGCCCCTCAGTTCCTTTATCTCAAAGGGGAACAGTAGAATTCTGCTCCTGGGGTCATTATAAAGATTGAAGAAGCTAACAGCCACAGCCATGACCAGCGGTGTCTAGAACATAGTGATGAGGAAATCCCAGCAGTGGTGAGGCGGCAAGAGGCACTAACGGGCCACTTTGTAGGCCCCAAACTCTCAGTGAAGCATTTCCTGCCTTGTTTCTCCGCCCTCAGTGGCTCAGGCGCTCTGTGACCTGCTCTGCCTTGCTGCCTTGGGGAAGCCCTAAACTGGGTCATCCTCACCTCGAGTCTCCACAGCAAGTTGGAAACTTGACCAGAATCAGACCTAGATCTTGGTCTCTGACCTCTGGGCAAGGGAGTGCCTCTCTGAAACTCCCAAGGCTGTGGGTACTCAGCTCAAAAAGAAATCTCCATCTGAGGCACACTCTGTCCTCTTCAGACCCTCTTGTTGATTTAATGAGCCCAGTTTTATGGAATGCTTCTGTCGGAAAGGCGTGCCTCACTCTGGGGGGCATCAGGCGTGAGTCCTAATACTTCTGCCTGCTAGTTTGGGTGACTTCAGCAAGGCTTCGGCTCTCTGAGCCTCTGTATCCTTACCTCAAAAATGGTGTAATAATATCCCCTCAGTTTGAAGATCCCCTCAGTGTGGGCAGCTACTATTGCGGCTTCCTGGAGAAGCAAGTGTACACACTGAACATTACCATACAAGTTAGTGGAGGAGTGGTCATCCTGCTGCTCCCTGTCAAAGTGCCCTCCACCTAAGGTCCTGTGTGTGTGTGTGTGTGTGTGTGTGTGTGTGTGTGTGTAAAAGAAGAACTGGTCCTCTAAGGAAGTCACTTCTCAGGGTTACTTTGTCAAGAAAAAATGAGAAGGGAAGAGGGCATGTGTGTGTGTGTAAAAGAAGAACTGGTCCTCTAAGGAAGTCACTTCTCAGGGTTACTTTGTCAAGAAAAAATGAGAAGGGAAGAGGGCATGTGTGTGTGTGTAAAAGAAGAACTGGTCCTCTCAGGAAGTCACTTCTCAGGGTTACTTTGTCAAGAAAAAATGAGAAGGGAAGAGGGCTTGTGCACATGCACATCTCCATGTGTGTGTGCACGGGTGTGTCACGTACGTACACGTGCTCTCTCACCACCATTTCACAGCCACCAATACCACCAGCCATCAAGATCCAGCACCACCTAAAATTTTCACTACTTGTCCCTCCCCAACTCTGCTGTTATTCTTGCACCCGTTCTTCTTTATCCTTCCTTTTCTTTGTCTGCAGCCCCATCAGCTTGTCACAAATGAAATGGAGTTTTTCAGTTAACATCTGTAAAGTGGGAAGAGCCTAGCATCGAGGCAAAGGGGTTAATTCTCTGAACCCCGTGATTCCATAATTTGAGGACACTGGCCTTTGTTGAAGACATTAAGACAGGAGAGGTCTGGAGTGACTGCAATTGTGATGCTACCTCTGAGCAGAGAGTAAAAAACAATGAATCTCACACAGAACTCTCTGCAGGGAAAATCATGCCCACAGATGCATACATTCACTAAAACACACGTGAACAGTCTTCTAGTTCTTTCCATCTTGCCTTAACAGAAAAAGCCCTGCTTTGAAGCCAGCAGGACAGAACTACCTGGTCTGTCTAGATCCCATCGAGGCTCCCATGAGTGATGTCAGCTAGTGATATCACACTCTGACTTTGTTTCCCTGCCTGTAAAATGGAGACAGAAGCATTCCAAATCAGTCCAGATAGTGAATGTATGAGGCTCTGACTTCAATCATTTCACATTCATCTATTGAGTTCCATTGCTGTGCCAGGCGCCAAGGCTCTGAGAGATGGCAGAAGCAGACAGATCAGTCCTTTCCTGGAGCCTTCAGCCTGAAGGGAAGGCAGGTACAGCACGTGTAACCTCGATCCCTCAAACTCATGGGCCCCAGAAAAGGTACTCTTCCTAATTCTTCTAGACTCAGTTTCTATTTTGAGGTCACATTCTTTTAGACTGATGGCTTAATCTCAGTCATTCTCTGAAGAGTTGTTTGATTTGAGCAGAGTTCTGATGATCTCGACAGCATCACTTCCCCTCCACTGACTGTATCCTCAGATTCTCCAGACTTTAGTCTCTAAAGGGCCTTGTTGGTCCTGGCTCCTTATGCCAGTTGCTTTATATCTAATGAGCTCTCTCCACCCATCTATCCCTCCTGGCTGCCAGAGCCTGCCCAGCATGATTCTTTCCCCCTGGCATACTATAGCTAGGAGTGCTCTCCAAATCCCAGAATTGACCTGAGTGTTCCTAGCTTTAAGCCCTATAGTTATTCTCCAGCGACTTTTGTTTATATATCACATATAAAATAGTATATGATATATAATATATATATATATATATATATACATATATATATATATATATATATATATATATATATATATGCACACGTACTCATATAGCCTTGCTTGCTTCTCCTATTTGTCCCTGACATTTTTCCTCCATTCCCACCACCTATGGGAAAGCCACAAATCAAACATGTACATGCTTATTTCATGTGAGACACTTGGTTTGTATCAACTCATTGTCTTTGTATTGTTTAATAATTATTACTGTCCCATTTTTAACTTCTGGGCAAACTAAGGAGTGGAGAGATTAAGGACACACAACAAATGAATGGCTTCCAAGAACTGAAACCTGCAGACTACAGTTTCCAACTGTACTTTTAACCTGAAGTTAAGCCCCTGATTAAGAACTGTGTGCTTCCAAGGAGGCCATCTTCCTTCTTGCCATCAAGGCTTGGTGTAAGCATTCTTCTGCCTGGTTACCTTCCTGGTGCCTTTCATCTTGCTGGCCTGTTGCCCAAGACCCTTTCTCACCCCTTCCACTGTGAGCCTTGGTTGAGTCAAGAGCCTTGTGTGGGTTCTAATGACTCTATGAAGCTCTCATTGGGACATTGGCTAGTAAGTGTGGATTTACTGTCTTATTGTGCAGGACTCCACTGCAAAAAATTGTATTCATCTTTGGATGCCCAATTTGCAGAGTGAGTGGCTGTCAGTCCAGCTAACCTCAGGGTTTGGCAGGGATGATCCATGAATAAGCATGTCTTTCTCTTTCTTTGAAAACCTTTAGTTTTGGTAATTAAAGATCTATGTACTTGTGTGCACTTGTGTGGGTATGTGCACATGAGTGAAGGCACCCATGGAAGCCAGAGGCATCAAATATCCTTAGCTTTAGAATTGCAGGCAGGATATGAGCCACCTGATATGGGTACTGGGAACCAAACCATATTTGGGTCCTCTACAAGAGCAATTTATGCCCTTAATAGCCAAGCCATCTCCCCAGCCCCATCAATAGGCATTTTTTAAGCATCCACTGTAGGCCCAGTCCTGAGCCAAGCATTCTAAGAGAAATAAGGACAATGAAGATAAGATTTGATTGAATATAAGGTTGGTCTGGCAAAGCTCATCCCAGCCAGATGGGGATTGCATCAGGCAAGAATCTCTGTACCTGACTTTAATTTTAGATCTTCATCCACTTCCCTTCTCTTCCTCACCTTCCTGTTGTCCTGTCCCCCACCCCTGCCCAGTATTGACGATACATTCTTAAAGGAAAGGACACGACAAATCATGGCTGTAACAAAGACTGGTGTCATGGCAGCTATTGGTGTCTCCTAGCAAGATGGAGGCTTGACAGATTAGGTATCATCCTTCCATTGAAATGAGAAAGCTGGTCAGGGCAATCTCTCAACACTTTCAGCCAGTAAGCAGCCAAGATTCAAATATATATATTCACAAGTCTTTTCTGCCTCCTGGATCCCTCTGCTTCCCCCATCCATGCAATGTGTTTGACTATGCCCAGGCATGCCATTGCCTCTCCATGCCTGCTTTCTCCTGTGCTCCTTCTCATTATGCTTCCCTTCCTGCTACCTTGCCTTCATGAGGTGGCTCTCTACCCAGAACCTCCTCAGCCCTTCTTTGCCTCATCAAACCTCTGGGCAATGTAGCTCAGTCCCTCTTGTAGAGACCATCCTACCAGGCTGTAAATACACAACACACACACACACACACACACACACACACACACACACGAGAGAGAGAGAGAGAGAGAGAGAGAGAGAGAGAGAGAGAGAGAGAGTCAGGGTCGGGGAGAGGGGTCGGGCAGTACATTGCTTGCCTCCCAAGCACAAGGACCCGAGTTTGATCCCTAGCATGTGGAGGTGGGGTGGGGGGTAGAAAGAAGGGTGGCTGGGAAGGGTTCCAGTTCAGTTAACTCTGACTTCGAGCTAAGTGATAAGTCTAAAATTTACCCTCTCATTGCCCCAAGTCCACCTGGGAAAGCAAGCTCTGGATAGCCAGAGTCTGTCTGGCTTTGTTTTCCCTCATTCTTTTATTAGGTGCCTAATTGGCAGCCCAATTAATCTGCTCATCTGTGAAGGAGGTGAGTGCCTCCATTTCCAGAAGCCATTCTCTGAGGCAGCATGGCCCAGCCCTGAGTGCCGGCTGGCTCCTTGATGGAGGGCTGCCCAGGGAGCCAGGGTCAATTAGCGGACAGATTAAGCAATTATTAGCCCCTAACAAGGGCGCCTGGCATCATTACCCTGCCTGTTTATTGGCAAACTGCAACTCTAATATGAGGACCAACAAATAAATTAGGGCATCTGGTCCACTGCCGCGTCAGCCGAGAAGTAAATGATGTCCAACTGGCCCTGGGCTGCCCATGGATTCTCAGCCTGGCATAATGAAAAGACTGAGATGTCCCTTGCTGGTCACAGCAGCTTTGGAATGAACTCTGAAGTGATTTATCATTCCAAGAGCTGAGTGTCTGCTGCTGGGCATATGAATTGTTCTTAGTTACCCTGCTGTCTTCCTCATGCCTGTCTGTCAAGACCTGTAAGGGCCCAGTTCAGAGGCTCCCTCTTATCCAGCATGAAACAAGTCGCCTCTGCATTTGGGAGACTCTTCTACCACTTTATGGCATTACACCAATTTCATGGAATGTTAGAGCAGTATTTTGACTGTATGTTCAGGTCTCCAGTGAAGAAGCAGACACATAAAACAGAACAGAGGGGAGGGGAAGGGCTGAGGGCTTTTTGTGTCCCGCAATCCCTTTCCTATAGATAGATGCAGAGCATTACCAGAAGGGATACTACAGGAAGGCCCCTATGGTTGTGTGATGATGGCACCCTCCTGAATTTGTTGCTGTCATTCAGGACCCCCAAGGCCCAGCTCAAATGCTTGGAAACCCTCTGCTCTATCTGCATGAAGTGCTTCCCCGTCTTGTCCCTAGGCCTCCATGCTATGTCTTGAACTACCTTCTGTTAGAAACAAAGATATATTTGGACAACCCATTGGGAAATACCTAATCATATATTCATAATTATATATAGACAGTAGTTGACGACAGAGGCCAAAAGTCACTGGCCCTCTTGTCATTTTATGGACTAAGAAAAATGTGCCCTTCTCCTTCTTGAAACACTTGGAGGCTAAACCACACTGGTCTCTCTTCCTAGGGATCATTGACTTCCTTGTCAGTCAGCATCCAGTTGCCCGTGTCCTACGAGAACACTTGGTCTTCAAGATTGCACCAATGCTCAACCCTGATGGAGTCTACCTGGGCAACTACAGGTGAGGGACTGGGGAAGATGTTTAGAAGCAGAAAGTGACAGTATGGGGGTATGAAAGTCAGAAGAAACCAGGTAATAAACCTGAGAAAGCATTTCTAGACTAACCATTAGAGGAACTATTAGAGAAAATTTAAAAATTTGAGGAAATGTTACTCTACCTCCCAAGTGCAGCTAATGTCCTTGGCCATTTATAGACAACTACCCAAAGTCACTTTCTGGGGTTTTCTGAACAGACTGATAGACTAAGAACCAGAAGAACTAATATTAATTTTGGCACCTACTTCCTCCATGTCCTTGAGAGACTCACTTTTCCTCTCCGATGCTCAATGTCTCTTGCATAAGAGACAACAATTCCCCAGCAGGGCAGTTATATCAGAAGGAAAGGGAGGAATGTGCTTTGTAGAACCACAGATGAGGGTTATAATGCTTCCTGATCTGTTGCTGTGTTTCTCTTAGAAGATCATTAATGAATGAAAATAGCAGCCCAGATCATGGCTTCTCTTTGGATGGACATACCACTTAGCTTCACTCCAGCTCATGTGCCATATCTTGAATATTCTTTCTCCTGTTATAGAGCTGTCATTTACCACCTAACATTCCACTGCCCAGGGGAATCATTTGCCAAAAGAATATTGAGTTCTCAAAGATAGCCTTATTTCACAGCTCAGACAACTGACTCGCCCAGTGCCACATAGTGGTAGATAATTGACTGTCTAATTTTGCTGCCCAAATAATATGACTTTAGATTTGATCAGGCCCATAATATTCAAGACAACAGCCATCCTCCCCAAGCTTTGCATGTCAGGTTTTATGTGACCTGTCAGGCTTTGTGTGACCTAATGCCTGTGTCTGCACTGACTTTAGTCTGTCCCACTCTCTTTCCTCCCAGAGATGTTCCTCTGACTTCTCTCAGAAAAGCCTATTGCCCTTCTCCAAGCAAAACTTATTGCCCCAAACAAGAGTATTGGCTCCTGCTACTTTACCTTTATCACAGGGCCCTCTTTGTAAAACCATCTCATCCCTTATTCACCTGCTAACTCTCTTGGCAACTCAGCTTATGTCTGTCTTTTAGAAATCATTTCCCCACACCCCCAAAAGAAGTAGCAACTGCCTTCTGTGTTCTCACAGGCCTGGTTATTAAAAAAGGAACCAGAAGCCAATCAATCACGGGAATTTGTTGCTACACCCTTGGAAGGTGTTCGTGAACCCCACTGACCTTCAGGTCCCCAGAAGATAGGACAGTCCCCAGAAGATAGGACAGTCATTGTGTCCTCACTAGCTAGAAGCAGGAATTAGCAAATAATAGATGCTCAGAAGTGATGAATGCAAGTGAATGAAAGGGATGACCATAATGATGAAGAAAGAAAATAAATGACAATTCCAAGATCTCCCCACAACCAACTAGAACCATTTTACACAAGGCTGCTTTAGTACTCTCTAAAACCATGGAAATTGGGTCCAGAGGGGCTCTCTGGCACCCCTGGGTCTGAGAGAGGCCCATGGGATGCATGAAGCCTTCATTAAAGTCAATTTTGCTTCTTCTCTTAATTGGCTGGAGTGATGGCTCATTAGCATCTGCAGGTTTTACGGCTTGTTGCAGGCCCAAGAGTAATGCCGTTCTACCTTCCCCAGACAGAATGTGTGGTTAGTGATAATAGTGGTGGAAAGACCACTTGATTTATGTTAACATTTCTGTTTAATTACAAGAGCTGCAGTGGTCAGAGAGAGGTCAATTCTGCCGCTCCACATGCTTATTTATGTCATCTTCTGCTGTCCAGGGAAGGGTTAGCTAGAAATAGGTCCATGACCTTGGTCAACATGCCTCCTTTCCCTCTGCTTTGGATGGCTAGGGTGTAGGAAGGGGAGGAGATTAGATGCCTTCTATACATCTTCAAGGTCCAGATTTTGTGACGGGGGCAGGTAGCTCCATCACCCTGAAATAGTTTCATGATGAAGTTTCAACTCCCAATGTCCTCCTAAGTAACAATATATGATTCTTCCTTATTATGAGAGTTGCAAAAAGTCTCTAAGCACAGCATTAATCCTGTTATTAAAACAGATCAGAGTAGCCAAAAGTAGCCTATCAATCATGAGAATTTGTTTCTACAGCTTTCGAGTATAGGGAAAACAGTAATGAAGACTCAGAACGCATAGTTTCAAGGTGCCCTAGAAGTCCCCACACCAGTTCCCCCAATGCTGGTTCCCCCCATTCCAGTTTCTTCATGCCAGGTCCTCCCACGCTGTCTCTGCAGCAGTATTTCTTCGGTTTGCTGTAACTTTCTAAGGTGTGTGGCAGGAAAAAGAATCTGGAGTAAAATAAGTTTGGCAAATGCTGAACTAAGTGAAGTTAAACACAGCATTCATTATAAGACCTTCCATAATGGTGCATATGGTCATGAACACAAGCAGTCCCCAAAGAGAAATATAGACCTCAATGTTTCCAGAAGGTTAAGTGCTGTGGTCCATACAGCCAGCTACCTATGTTAGGTTTATGAAACATTTTGGGTAATGGCATCACAAGAAGTCTGCTCGCTGACTCAATGGCCTGTCAAGTCCTCACACATATTTCATCTAATCCTCACAACTCTGAAGGAAGGGCTCTGTTAGGCTTTTTCTGCTTGCAAATATAAAAGTCCACTCAGACTAGCTTAGTAGCAGAGGGATGGTTGCAAGGGAAGGAAGGAGGGAGGTTGGCCCTTAGAACTCTGGGGCAACGTAAAAAGCCAGAGTTCACAGGATGCTGGTGAGATCACAAGTCACAGGTCAGAGCACAGGCAGCCATGTCTCTGCTTCCCTCTCGCACCCTTTGACTTTCGTTCTCTTATCATCTCCTTTGGAGGTTCAGTGCCCTGGAGAAGCTAAAGAACCTGCCCCAGGTCTATGGCCAATGATGGGCAAGCAAGGATGAAGGGCTGTCCTCCCTGTTGTCTACCCTGCTGCAGTCAGGGCTGGACCTGGCTAACTCTGAAGCTGTAGCATGACAGGCCTGCCTGCTCTGAAGCACCTCATGGGGGTGGAAAGGCAGCTCACAGGCCACTCCCCTGCATTGTGGAGGGATGTAGGGGATGTCTTTAGAGTTGTGAAAGTCAGTGAGTGATAGATAACATGGGCTTTGGTGTTAGTAAGGCATGACATCAACTTCTGATCCACTGTCTATGTGCCCCAGGACCTTGGATAACTCACATAGCCTATCTATCTATCTATCTATCTATCTATCTATCTATCTATCTATCCATCCATCCATCCATCCATCCATCCATCCTTCCATCATCATTTGCCAGTGGGAAATGAAAGAGTTATGAGATCTTTGGGAGATACTATACTTAAAGCACAGTACTGGGCATGTTGTAAGTTCTAAATAAAAATCTCTTCCTTCCCCCTCTTCTAACTCCTTCCCCTCTTTTCTCCATATTAAGGAAGCATGTGACCCAGTGTAGGAAAGAAAAACACAGTCAATTTCCCACTTCTGTCAGCTTAGACTGTATATTTAATAACACAAACACCTACACTATAGTACTAATAGTCAGGTAGAGAAGGTTAATGTAACCTGGGTGTGTGGCTTAGTTGGTAGATTCATTGCCCAGCACTCACAGATCTCTGGGTTCAATGCCCAGCACCACATAGTCCCAGGCATGGTGACACATGCCTATAGTCCTAGCACTCAGGAGGTAGAGTCTGGGATGTCAGAAAATTCAAGATCATCTTTGGCTACGTGCTCCTTTCCATCCTTATTGGTTTGCTGTTTTCCAGAGAGAGAGAGAGAGAGAGAGAGAGAGAGAGAGAGAGAGAAGAGAAATATGCACACACACTTTACCCTAGAACATAATAGCAGCAGATGGTTGTTATACTATTCTGGGAATATTCATTATGCTAAAGAGCAGCAGAGTCTACACGCTAGATTACTGTGTGTGGTACCATACTGTGGCTGTGCTAAGAGTATATATGGCCCATATTAAAGCTTATGTCACAATATGCAGCATCCATAGTATATTCCACAGCAGCTTCTACAATTTGTGTATAATACAACAATACATAACCCTTATTGTGTAAAATAGGGCAGGTATGCACTCTATCTTGCTTACAACACTCCAGTTACATTTCCCATTTCCCCCTGCAGATGTCCAGTCTCAAGGTAATCCATGGGAAGCCCTTCCCAGCACCTGCTTCCCACTGCACCCTTTCATAGCACCTAGCATTGTCCTGGCCTGATTTATAATCATGTATACATGTGACTTTGTCTGCCATGTTCCCTTTCAGGCCTGTCATAGTGGCTGACACAGAATGAGCCCTTTATCTCTATTTTCTGAATGAACAAATAAACTAAGAGTGGTATGCACTGATTGTGCTCTGACACAAAGCTAAAATCCCCAGAAGAGAGGAACTACGGCTGGATGCTGTCAGCCTCCAACCCCACCTGTTTAATCGCATGCTGCTATGACATGAATACTCTTCTGATTTAACAGCGTGAATGACTGTTAGGACCTATCAGACTCTCCATTCCCGGGCACCACTTTGTTATCTTGTAGAGCCCAGTGCTTTTTAAAAGCACCTAAATACTGCATTCCCCCCATACAATGGTTTGAGAAAGAAAAGTCAGCTTTTATTATATCCATTAGAGAAAGTGGGAAACTGAGCCTAAGAAGTGAAGGGCCACTAGCAAGACTCCAGGCTTGCATCCCAGGTCTCTGGGCTCTAACTCTTTCACCAGCCTTAGGTAGAGGCACAGGGCAGGCAGTTTTCTTTTCTCAGCCTCCAGGGATTGTTGTCTTGGGACAACATAAATTTAACTCCAAGCCTCAATATTCCTCCAGCCTTCTTGGGGGAACTAAATGTAGTAAAAGGCAACTTTCATCATCTGGTAGGTACTCTAGGGGGAGACTCTATCAAGAGAAGCATTGTTGCAGCATGAATGAACCTGGAGAATAGTGATGCTAAGTGAAATAGACCAGCCCCAAGAAGACAAATACTATTGGATTCTACTTACATGAGGAACTTCAAGTA